AATTTGCACATATTTCTTTATTAAACTACAGGTGACTTGCTAATTAGTTTTGGCTAAAATATACATCTTTTTTCTCTGAATAGATATCCATACTGCTTTAGCCCTATTTTGTTTGCATCCTGTCATGTATAAATATGTACATTTTTGGATGGATGTTTCACCCCTGCTGATGCTCGGTCTGTTTGAAGGCTCGCCGGGCATTTCGAGCACTTGATGGCATCATAAGGCTACAAGCAGTTATTCGTGGTCACTTAGTCAGGAGGCAGGCTGTTTCCACATTGCAGTATGTACAGAGCATTGTTAAGTTACAAGCTTTTGTTCGAGGCCAGATTGTTAGATGTTCTGATATTGGCATTAAAGTGCGCGCTAAGTCAACTGTGGAAGAAAAGGTAATCTGTTAATTGATTTGTGTATGGTTTTTCTCTTGAACTAGAGTATTTGACATGATAAGGAACCACCAGAAGAACATGGCATTTTCCAATCACATGAACTTTAGTTCTGATTCAAATAGCTGTATTTGATAAGCACAGAGGTTGGAATTTAATACAGTAATTAGTTAATGTGCATTCCAGTCCATCTATCTGTTAGCTTATATTTGTTCAGTGTGGTTGATGTTTTCATGTACCAAACAGGATGCCAAATATTTGGAACCGAGCGAAAACACATATAATCAAGCAGAAGAATTGTTGAAGAATGGTTTTGTTGCTGAGGTAAGTAAAATGTATCATAGCTTCTGCAGATTGATTCTTTCCTGCTGCTGCATTTGAGAAGGCCCAAGTTTTGGAATTTCTAGTGCAAAATTTGCAACCGTAAGATGGAGAGAAGTCATCTTGGAAAGTTAAATATAATATTTAGAAGCATTCCCTCCTATCTCTGTTTCAGCATAAGGGCAATTAGTTGATGTGGAGAGACCTGAATTTTTTTACTTATTCTTAAGTGAATTATACAAACATTTCTTGTTCTTTTTAAGCATAACCTCTATGGCGCATGACCGAAAGAGAGTAATTTTCTTGGTGCTTAAAAACAATTATTGAATGTTCATGTGTCATTAGATTTCTGTCTTATTCTATTCTTTTTGTGTGACATGCATGATGTTCAAAGATATTGTATCTCATCACGTATTCGACGACTTTCAGCTACTCTCTCTGTCAGCCACTGCGATGCCTATAAGTCTACAATGTGGTGTGGAGGAACCAGATTCAGCATGGCATTGGCTTCTTCGGTGGACATCAATACGCATATGGGAACCAAAATCTGAGCTGAAAAAGATTGCTGGTTCAAAGCATCGGAGAGCTGAAATAGGTCAAACCAGGGCAAAGCGCGGTACAGGGAGATTGCACTCTGGCACAGTTCACATTAGCTCAAGTCATAATACGACTGAGTCAGATAAACAAAAAAGCAATCCAATGAGGACTTCAAATCACTCCACCAATTCTGCTCAGTGTTATCCTCAGAATGAGGTTGAGAAGGTTAAGCGTAATCTGAAGAAAATTTCTGACTCCCAAAGAGATGCTTCCATCGAGAAAGAGGTTGATACTGAGAAACAAGGACTAACTCATGGAAATGGATCGAATCAACCAGCTCATGAGCTATCAGAACACAGTACTGATACTCAATCTGATAAACTGCAAGCAGACTTGGAAGGGGATGTACTGAAACAAACTGATCAGGTAATATCTGCAGATCTTCCAGATAGGCATGACACAGTTGATGAGTTATGTGATTGTCCTGTATCTAACTCTGATGGGCAACCTAAAATTTTTGGTGAGGAAAATGAGAATATTCTGGTTGTGGATAAGAATATTAAGGATGATCTATCTGGCGATGAGAACCATAAAGTTAGCAAGAGAAGAGCTTCTTTACCTCCAATGCATGACGATCGAGATGCAGCTGTCCCTAGTGTCATAAAGTCTAAGGATGATCAAAATGGCAATGAGAACTCCAAGTTTAACAAGAGAAGAGCTTCTTTACCTGCAAAGCATGATGAACAAGATGTAGGCATAACTAATGAAACAAAGGTCCCCAGTTACATGGCAGCAACTGAGTCTGCCAAGGCTAAGGCACGAGGTCAAGTCTCGCCGAGGTTTGGACAAGATGCATACGAGAAGAATGGTCTACCTAGGCGCTACTCATTGCCTTCTTCTACCAATGTGAAGCTGACTTCATCTCCACGAGTACAGAGTCTTGTTCAAGGTAGTGGAAAAGGAGGAATCAAAATTGACAGATCTCTTTCATCTTCCAGAGATGGTAATATTTAAAAACCTAGACATAACATTAAAGATGCTTTCATTTGGTTTAAAAAAGAAAAAAAAAAACCACAGCTTAAATATGATGGCCTTTTGAGCATATATTAGTATCACTAAAATTTGTCTGCATTTTTTAAATGCTTTTGAAGTCTATTAAATAGCAATTGTCTAAATACGATTTTATAAAGTTGAAAATTCTGTTTGAAAATTTTCCCCTTACTCGTGAAATTTACTTGGATGTAAACATTCACAGCTGAATTAGTTGTGTCGAAAATTTAGTAATAATCAGCATCTTGAATTTGTTCACGTCTGGCTTTGTTTATTCTACCATCTGATTCAAATGTTTATTGTGATTTTCACTGAGGAACATTTTTGCTTACCGTTCCTTAACATGTTGTTTTCCTGAATGAACTTGAACTTTCTTCATGCACTGCATAACTGCTCTTAATCATGCTACTAGCATCTTCTAATCTGTTGTAATTCTCACCCCCGTGGTTACTGTCATAGGATTCTTATGGGCCTTTTGTTTTTATGATGCTGCTCTTGCATTCTGATATATGGTCTTTTTTAGTTTCAGGTAAGTTGATTCAAGCAGAATGGAAGAGGTAAATACAGCAGAAAGTAGTTTACGTGAAGTTGCCAGAGTATAGTAGGTGAAACACAGTTACTGGCTATAGTGATTCTCTGTTTTGTGCATGCTACTTTAATGTAAGTTGGTCACTGTACAACATGGATGGCAATGGACAAAAGAAGTGCATGGAGCCCAAAAATTGTCTTTTCTGGTATCGTCGAGTTTTTGGAAGGATTAGTTATGTAGGCTTTTGGTTGATGGAATTTTGGAGGTTTTGAGGACATGTTATGGGAAAATGTCTGGATAATTTTTGCCATATTCACGGGTAGCATGAAGTTTTGTAGAGTTCTGAATTGGCATTTTACCACCTTGTTTTAAACTTGGCATCCAAGTCTTGGCCTTCACCATGAACCGTATGGTGCGAGTTAACGTTAATGGCGCGGGATATGAATGGCAAATTGAAAGCATTGGAAGGCTAAAACTAATAAAACCAGCGTATGCCTTCTTCCGCCTAGAATGGGAATGCATTAGATTGCCAACTTTTGCAGGCCGAAGCTAGCACTATACTAGCATACTACGTCAGGCAGCATTGAGGATCAGGTATGCCCGGGAGTTCCCCCCAAACACTTCAGTGAATTGATAGGTGCTCTCCATCTTTTAATTTGATGAATGATACTCAGTGAAGTGTTCGAGTTCTGCTAATGCATCTACCAAGTTTTCTTCGCATGGGGCTGCTGTGGTCCTGTGTCTGAGCAGCAAACCATACCTTCCTTCGCCTACGTTTTCCAGTATGTTCAATTTCACTATAAATAGGTCAATAATATCGTGTTCTTAATTTGCATCTACGAGCAGTACAAATTAAAAAGTGCACCCAAAGAGGAAGAAAGAAAAACGTCAGGTTTCCCCTGACCGCTTCACTGCCGACTTCTTAGTTCTTAGATGCCTTCTTCTTCTAAGCATGAATATCCAAGTCTAGCCCACTGAAGTGTTTGGGGGAACTCCCGGTGCTACCTGCCAATATCTACAGATTAGATCATCTAATTATCTGCTGTAAAACATTGGAATTATTCATTTACGTTTTGCAGGAATTTATTTGCTTTTCTTCTTCATATACAGTTCAGACACAAAATGCAAAAATCGAATTTCCAGCGGTATTCTTAGTTCTTACGTAACTCTGATGACCAGAGTGATCAAGACGACTTCAGTTTCATAGATATGAACAAAGCCATCTCTTGTAGTTGTGGGGTTATGTAGAGGATGTCTGAGAGTTAAAGCACTTAACAGTGTGTATTTTGTTTTAAGCAATGGATCCGTGATGTGTTAACTTCAGAATTTATAGGTCATATATCTCAAACAAAGAGTATAGTTTAATGTTTATCTTGTAAGCAACAGAAGAAGAAGATGCTTTTTTTTGTGAATGATAAGTTTACAAGCAAGTTTTACAAGGTGAAGATAGGAACTGTAGTTGCACAGAAGGAATCTGAGCCTGAAAAACAGGAGACACGTCAGAGGGTTGAAGAGGACAGGAAGCCCAGATTGAGGCTGCTATAGTTAGGATCATGAAATCTCGGAGGGTGTTGGATCATAACAACATTATTGCAGAGGTGACCAAGCAGTTGCAATCTCGTTTTCTGGCCAATCCTGGAGAAATAAAGAAACGAATTGAATCCCTCATTGAGCGTGATTTTTTGGAGAGGGATAGTTCAGATAGAAGATTGTATCGGTATCTTGCGTGAGCAAGCTAGTTTGGTGTATTCCTTGTTCTCTTGGGTCAGGTTGGGTTTTACCCCAAATTACAGTTTGCAAATGTTCATTTTAACTTGCATGCGATCTTTCTTGACATTGATTGAGATTTCGTCTTGTTAATACCCTTTGTTTAGGCGTGCATTCTTTCCGCGGTGCCTTCTTTCCATCATTGTTTAGACGTGCACATCCTGCCAGTGCAGTTGACGTCACTCGTTAAATTGGATGGTTGCATGCTTTGCATCCGGGTGATGGATATCTTATATGGAAACAAAATCTCGGACCCTTAAAATCACATCTTAGGAGCATCCACATGTGGCTGGTGACTTGCTGCTGCTGTGAATTTATCTCACATTTGGATTATAAAGTATTAGCAGGAAAAAACGGAAAGGTGCAAATATACGGTTAAACTTAGACCTCTTGACTAAAAGCTAGCTAAAATGCACGCACGAACTCCAGCAGTCCTGTCATCAGAAGAAATTACGGTTGCCATTGCTGCCGTTACCGTTCACATACGGCCTAAAACAACAGCATCAAAATTTGCTTCAATCAAGTTCTCCATACAAGCAGGGCATGATGTTGCATTCTATGTCACCTCTAATCCACTTGGTGGAAATGCTACCTTGAGGAATATGTCTGAGACTGTTTATTTTGGGGGACCAGAAGCTGAAGGAGTCCCAGCAAGCCCTACAGAACTGACATGGGCGCCTGATCGCAATACACCAGATATAGTTTATTATCATTCTGTCTATACGCAAAAGATGGGTTGGAAAGTTCAAGTAGTTGACGGGGGTCTGCCAGATATGTATAACAATAGTGTTGTTTTGGATGATCAGCAAGTTACACTTTTTTGGACATTATCAAAAGATTCAATATCAATTGCAGCTCGGGGTGAAAAGAAAAGTGGTTATCTTGCAATAGGTTTTGGACGTGAAATGGTACACAGCTATGCTTATGTGGGTTGGATTGATGATGATGGAAAAGGAAGGGTGAGCACATATTGGATAGATGGAAGGGATGCCTCTAGTTTGCATCCAACTCAGGAGAACTTGACATATGCAAGATGCAAGTCTGAAAATGGTATCATCACATTTGAATTCACCCGTCCGTTACACCCATCTTGTAGTAAAAGAGATGAAAGGCCAGAATGTAATAACATTGTTGATCCTACAACCCCTCTTAAAGTTATTTGGGCAATGGGTGCTCAATGGTCAGACAACCACTTGAGCGTAACAAATATGCACTCTGTCACAAGCAAGAGGCCTGTTCACGTGTTGCTTATGCGTGGTTCTGCTGAGGCAGAGGAGGACTTGCGGCCAGTATTAGCTGTACATGGTTTTATGATGTTTCTTGCGTGGGGTATACTGCTTCCTGGTGGTACTCTAGCTGCAAGATACTTAAAGCATGTCAAAGGTGATGGGTGGTTTCAACTTCACGTATACTTGCAATACTCAGGATTATCAATCGTTTTCCTTGGTTTTCTTTTTGCTGTAGCCGAGCTTCGAGGTCTGTTCCTCCACTCATTACATGTCAAGCTTGGAATGCTGGCAATATTGTTGGGTGTTGTGCAACCAGTAAATGCCTACTTTCGACCTAAGAAACCTGGTGCTGGAGAGGTGGTTTCTTCAAGGAGGATTCTTTGGGAATATATGCATGTCATTGTTGGCAGGTCCAGCATTCTTGTTGGGGTTGTGGCTCTTATCACTGGAATGAAGCATTTGGGAGAAAGATACGGTGATGAAAATGTTCATGGACTTACTTGGGCTCTGATAATCTGGTTATTGGTTGGTGCTTTGACAGTAATTTACTTGGAGTACCGTGAGAAGAAGAGGCGGCGGGATAGAGTATCTGGAGGAAGCAGTTGGGTATTGGGTAACGGTGAGGAGGAGGATGTCGATCTCTTGAGTCCAAGTCGGACAGTAGCAGAAAAAGATTCAGATTTTTCTGAAAGAATGGAAGTGCAGTTAGAACCTTTGAGCAGATAGAAACTCCCTTTGAAGATTCGCCTAGGATATAAACTTGCTCTGGTCCAGCAATTTTGAAATCGGCAACTCATACAGAAGACAGCAGGCTTTGTTGGTTACAAGGTTTTAGGTGTATCACATGTCACGGCTTTGTCCTACTTTTTGTCCCTCGCGAGGCAGCTAAGCTGCTGGATGTAATTGTATACTCCATACATTTATTGGCATAGTTAAAAAGTATTCTTTTTAATAGAAATCTCTGTAGAAAGGATTTTGCAGTTCTCTTTTGCATCTCCTTCGTGTGTAATTCTGTTTAATAGCATCTCCTTCCCTTATATTTCCATGCTGTTTGGGTATTGGGTCGATGGAACATAATGATAATTGCGCTAATTTGGTCAGATGCAGGAATCTCTGTACAGTTATTGGAGCGAAATTAAAATTTATGGAACATCAAGCTCCTTTAGCATCTTTATTTCAAGTAAACAGAAGCTGTACGAATAACGTGCTTTGCAATACTCGGCCTAAATGCCATGGCCTGAATACATCTCCTTGAATTTACTCCTGGCTTTCTTCACCAGGTACTTCACTTTTCCCCTGAACACCTTATCGTTCTCATGACATGTGCAAGACCCATTTTCCGCCTCTTCACAACCCATGCGACGACCTCAAAAACTGACCCAATCTTCAAATATCCAAACTTTGAAGAATTCATCCAGGAGTTCCATGCACACTTCATCAGAACTCATCGTCATACCGACTCATTATCGATGTCAAATATTATCAAGTTCTATGCTTTGTCTTCTGAGACAATACGCAAAGCCCACTTTGCTTTCCTCCAGATTGAGCACCCCACCTTACCAATCTGGAATTTCATGATCCGTGGATTCGCTCAGAGCGACCTACCCGGTGAAGCGACACCCCTATTTGAGAAAATGCGTGACAGAGGTTTACATGGAAATAATCTGACCTTTATATTCCTGTTTAAGGCTTGTTCTCGAGTTTCAGATATTTTGACTGGTAAAAAGGCCCACGGTCTTGCTCTAAAACTTGGGTTTGGATCTTACCTTTACGTGTGTAATTCTCTTATTCACATGTACGGGTCTTGTGATGCATTGGATTTTTCTCGGAAAATTTTTGATGAAATGCCTGAAAGAGACTTGGTTTCTTGGAACTCGTTGATATGTGGGTATAGTCAGCGCAACAAGTTTAAGGAGATTTTGGTTCTTTATGGTGCTATGCAAGCAACCAATCTGGCGGCTGATTCTATTACCTTGGTGAAAGTTCTATTAGCTTGTAGTCGTATGGGTGAGTTGGACGTGGCAGACTCTGCGGTGAAATATATTGAGAATAGTGGTATTGAAATTGATGTTTATTTGGGTAATGCACTGATTGATATGTATGGAAGGCGGGGTTTTGTTGACTTGGCTCGGGGAGTTTTTGACAGGATGATAGAAAAGGATGTGGTTACTTGGAATACCATGATTATGGGATATTCAAAAGCGGGGAATTTTGATGCAGCAATGAAATTATTTGATGAGATGCCCAGGAGGGACGTCATATCTTGGACCTCCATCATAGTGGGGTACTGTCATGCAAAACAATTTTCTGATGCCATCAGGATTTTTCGAAGGATGATGGCAGCTAAAGTTAAACCTGATGAGGTTACTGTTGCTAGTGTTCTTTCTGCTTGTGCACATTTAGGCATGCTTGATGTGGGTAATGCGGTGCATAAGTATGTCTGTGAATATGATGTCAAAGTAGATATACACGTGGGGAATGCCTTGATCGATATGTACTGCAAATGCGCATCAACTGAGAAGGCCTTGGAAGTTTTTCATGATATGAAAGAGAAGGACACAGTTTCATGGAACTCAGTCATATCCGGACTTGCAGTGAATGGAATTTCTGATTATGCTCTTGACCTGTTCTCACAAATGTTAATAGAAGGTGTTAAGGTGACCCATGGAACTTTTGCTGGGGTATTACTTGCTTGTGCTCATGGTGGATTGGTGGATAAAGGTTTGGACTACTTTGATAGTATGGGTAGGGTTCATGGATTAGTTCCAGAAGTGAAGCACTATGGTTGCATAGTTGACCTCTTTTGTCGCTCTGGTAATCTAGAGAGAGCATATGAATTTATACAGTGCACGCCTGTAGCTTCAGAAGTTGTTGTGTGGAGGATATTACTCGGTGGTTGTAAACTTCATGGAAATGTGTCCCTGGCCGAGATAGCCTCCAGCAAGCTTATTGAATTGGATCCTCATAATGGTGCAAACTATGTACTATCATCTAGTGCTTATGCCAGTGCAGAGAGATGGAATGATGCTACAAAAATGCGGGAATTGATCGATGAAGATGATTTGCAGAAGCCTCTAGGTTGGAGTACCATAGAAGTGGATGGTCTAGGACCTGTTGATTCACAAGGAAAAGGTCCTTCAGAGTCTCAAAATAATCCTAGTCCAATTAAACTATCTGAAAGAAAAGATTTTATCACTTCCCTTCCTGCAACATATGAAAATGGATAGTTACTTGAAGATTGAATAGATTTGACAGAGGCTTATGCAAGGGTATTGATACCCAGTCTCCGTGCATTTATCTGCAAAGCAGATAGGCCATGCGGTGCATTGCTTCTTGTTCTGGCAGTTGACTGGGCAAGAACTTGGCCATAGCATACATGAACATCAGCGGAAGCATGAACCATGGAACTTTGAGGAACCATCTGTGCATTCATATTTTTCATGTAAATGTTATATAATTGTTGTAATTGTTTTCTTTCTCTGGGAACAGAAAATGCTGCTTCGTGCTAACAGATTTGCAAAGGGATTGGCAAGCATTCTGTATGTATTTTACACTACTCCCTACTATCCTTGGGCATTCCCTGTAGTCTTATCCGTGTACCTTCTCATCATTAACAAAATCTTTTGTTCCGTCTAAAACTTGGGTACATTTCATGAACTCTAGAAACAAATTTTATGAGTGAAAATCTTAGTTGGCAATCAAATATATTGACAAGTTAACAATTACACCAACATTGTACAAGTTTACACTAATGTAGTAAGAATTATACAAATCGGATTGAACTGGACATAACTTAACTTTTGAGGTCCTGATCCACTTTATAATTTAGCCTATAAATGGTGTCTTAAGTACTCTCAAATTGCTAGGCCAGATTGTTTTATTGACAAGTTAACAATTACACCAACATTGTACTAGTTTACACTAATGTAGTAAGAATTATACAAATCGGATTGAACTGGACATAACTTAACTTTTGAGGCCCTGATCCACTTTATAATTTAGCCTATAAATGGTGTCTTAAGGTCTTTAAAAAATTCAAGGTGACTTATTAAAGCTTTATTCTGGTTTGTTACCCTGCAAACCAGTTTTTTACGTGGGATTTTATCTCGGTTAGTTGCAATCACCACCTCTGGGTTTCCCAAATTACAGATTACACACTTTTTTCCTGTAAAAAGAAGATGAAAAATGAACTGCCGCGACTAAACTTGTTGGTTCATGTTCAAGAGAAAATTTCGAACTTCGCCCACCAAATTTCTTTTCCCGTATCTCTACTCCACACATTGCCCAGATGAAAAGATTGTAACTTCATTGCAATCTTGCAAAAACATATCTGAAATTACCCCAATCCATGGCTTAATGGTCAAGACTGGTCTTGATCAAATACCATTTACACTTAGCAAGCTTCTTGCCTGTTCAATACAAGATATAAACTATGCAGGCTCCATTTTCAAACATATACAAAAACCCAATCTTTATATGTTTAATACTATCCTAAGAGCCTATTCAATCAGTGAGAATCAAAATCAGGTTTTTGTTCTTTTCAATTACTTGAGGGCTCAAAGAATTGTGCTTGATGAATTTACTTTCGTCCCAGTTCTCAAATCTTGTTGCAAAAAGTTTGCCACTTGGACTGGTCTTGGTGTTCATTCAATTGTGTTGAAATCTGGGTTTCAGCTGTTCTTGAATGTAAAGAATACGCTTTTGCATTTTTACTGTGTCTGTCAGAGAATGGGGGAGGCCCGCAAACTGTTTGATGATATTTCAGGAGGGAGAGACTTGATATCGTGGAACATTTTGATGGGAGGCTATCTTTGTGCGTCTCAGAATAATGTGGTTTTAGACTTGTTTAGGCAGTTATGTACCACCGGTCAAATTGTCGGCAAGACCACAATCTCGAGTGTTATCTCGGCTGCTGGGGAACTGAATTGCGTTTTGACAGGCGAGTGCTTACATGGATATTGCATAAAGTTTGGTTTTTGCTTGGATTTAAATGTGGTCAGTGCATTGATTTCCATGTATGGTAAAATGGGCTGCATTGATTCAGGGAGTAGGGTGTTTGCTGAAGTTTCTGCAAGAGATGTTGTGGTGTGGAATTGTCTCATAGATGGATATGCTAAAGGTGGCCTGCTAGATGAAGCAATAGGTTTACTGGGTTTGATGAAGCTGGAAGAAGTAAAACCCAATTCATCGACCCTGGCAGGGTTGCTTTCAGCTTGTGCTTCATCTGGGACTCTGGCATTGGGTCAACGTATACATGACCATGTAGAAGTGCAGGAGATAGTTTTGGATGCAATACTTGGAACAGCTTTGGTCGATATGTACGCTAAATGTGGATTGCTTTCGATGGCAAGTAATGTTTTTGATATGATAGAGAAGAAAGATGTGAAGTGCTGGACAGCCATGATACTGGGTTATGGAGTAAATGGGGAGCCAAAAAATGCCATTACCCTTTTCCATAGAATGGAGCAGGAGGATTTCAAGCCTAACGAAGTCACTTTCTTGGCAGTGCTCAATGCATGTAGCCATGGAGGATTAGTGACCGACGGAATAAGTTGTTTCAGAAAAATGGTGCAGCATTATGGCTTGACACCTAGAATTGAGCATTATGGTTGTATAATTGACTTATTAGGTAGAGCTGGTCTGCTTGAGGATGCACACGAACTGATCAAGAGCTTGCCCATCGAGGGGGATGCCACAGCATGGCGAGCATTACTCGCAGCATGCAGGGTCCATGGAAATGTTGAATTGGGTGAGTTGGTTAAGGGGAAATTGGAAACACTTTATGATGGACACCCTGCTGATTCGCTTGTACTCACTAGCACTTACGCTATAGCTGGGAGGATACCTGATAGCAAAGACATGCTGGAGAACAAAGGGAACCCATGTAGTCAAACTGTAAAGAAGGAAGCTGGAAGCAGCATAATTCAGTTGTCTAACAAGGAGTGGGAACTGGAGGTGTGAATTTTGGAGCTAAACAGAATACTGACCATGCA